GTTTCATGCCTGGACCCAAAATATTTCTCACTCGTCGCATAACCAGGCGTGCGATTTTAATTACAATCTCAATCCCCAATTACAGATCGTATGATCAAATTAATTGCTGTCACTCGTATGTAGAATATCTCGTATTGCACAAATGCATGGGACAATAACGAGTCTACAATCTTGTTCAAAGTCACTGCAGCTATTTAGTTATAGGATAATGTCGAGAACAATTCTCGAGGATGGGAATTGGTTAAAAAAATGTTTTCGATGTTTGTATAACGAAGTTGTAAAACGTTGGGGGTTGCACCGCCCATTATTGGCACCTGCTCAGGTATAATGAAGCAATCGGTAGTGATTATCGAAATTCACGGTTTTGCGCGAACCCGAACTCCACCCAGGCTCCTTTCCTCGAACGCAAGATCTTGGAAATGTACCTCTCCTGGTTTACTTACTTCATTTTATACCCGAGTAAAATATCCCATTTTTCAATTCTAATTGTTGCCAGAAAAAAGAGAACGAACGAGAACGAGATCATTTGTTTCAAGCGAAGAAAAATGGTAGAGATAAAGTCTTCACAGAAATATAATAGTTATATTTATACCAGAGTGCGATAGGTACTTGCTAATGAGAAACGTAAAGTGTATTATCATTTTTTACACAGCGGTGCCTAAACACAATGAGTTTTTGTAGAATGAAACTGATGTAATTATGATTCTGTAACGGAGGAAAGATTATCTCGGTCATATTTTAAAGAGCTTCTCGAGACACTTGTAATGCATGTAACTACTGTTCGCCGTTCTGACTCCAACTCAGGCGAAGTGACGATGGTAAACGGAAATGGTCGTCGAAGGAACGTCGATCGTCGGGCTTACGCATGTCCCGGCAGCTGCGCATCCTTCCTGGGCGTTTCCAAAGAGCCGCCAATCGGTAGAACCCTCTAATATCAACCACCCGCCGCCGCGACCAATGGAAGCTTCGACCTCTATCAGCGTGGGTGTCATCGGCCAGTTGGGCGCTGCGATATTATCAGTACCGTGGTTCGCGGCGGCGGGACGCGAAGAGGCACGGTGGTCATCGATCCCACGGCCCGCGAATCAACTTCGAGCCATCGACGGTAAGCTCTGCCAGCCTGGCTGACAGGGTAAGCGCGCGGAAAAGCGAGCCAGGGTAACGATTTAATCCACCACCCCTCTCCCTTAATCCTTCGCGCCAGTTTCCAGAAGGATTTGTGGCTGTCGATAGGTCTGGGATAAAATTCTGACGGCCATAGCACAGGCCGTTCTCAGTATTGCTCGATGGCAATGAATAATATTTCAAGGAAATCGGCTCGGTCTAAGTACAAACTACCATTTTGTTAAACATATTTAGCAAAATGAAACGATGCACATGATAAGGGATAGCTGTTTGCTGGAAGTGTTGCCTTTAGCTATGCGAAGAGGCGTGAAGAAGTAGAGCGATGATGCATCGGGTGCAACGGTGGAAGAGGAGGATTCGTGCAAATAAAACCGGTTCGAACTATTAACTACCGAAAACCAGGAGAGAGAGAGATAGATGAATAGAGGATAGTTTCTCGATGCAATTTCATCGACGCGAGGGCAATTTCGTGCGCAGGCATGCAGCTGCAGCTGCTGTTGCTACCACCAAAGGATATTAGGAGCCCGGTTTCCTATTATCTCTTAGCTTTGGCAATCTTTTTTCTTCTCCTGTCCCGGCTCGCCCCGATCAAACATTAATTTCGCAAACGAACCGACCATAGAAGCAGAATAGAGCAAGATAGAGGTGGCGTGCACCGTGGCAATTAGAGCAAAAAGGGTGGCCTGCAAGGTGTCCACGCGATTTTGATGATGAAACAATCAGGGGCGGCCCGATTACCATACGCGACTGTAAGAGATTCCGAAAACGAGCCGGGCTATAACTTAATCCGTTTTTTACAGCTTCGTCGGTTTACTTTTTGACCGCAGAAACGCCCAGAGAAATTCTGTTTACCGAACGATGCCAATAATCTTCGAAAGCTTTTTGTTTAATGTAACCATAGTACGATGAAACAGCACCGTTTTGAGTAAAATCTTCGATTAGTTTTTTAGTGATTCTGTGGTATAACAATAAAATTCAATTGACAATGGAAATAGCGAGGTGGCACGCGCGAATTCTGTCGACGATCGTTCGGAGCTGTTCACCTGTCCTTATTTTCGTGACGAGGCACGGCTACAAAGGACGAAACACGGTTAGGACACAGGCATTCTGTCGTAATCTTGCCGCTGCGAAGACCAGGGCGGCTCGCAACAGGCCAATAGATTAATCTATTCGAACCATCTGATCCGCTCTCCTCGTTAGGGGTTGTACCGTGGCTATTACCTACCCTTCGGACTCCGCCATCCCTGCATGCACTCCCCTTCACGAGATCTACAGACGATCTTTATAGACATTCCAGAAATATCAAGCAATTATTAAAAAATTCTTTATTGACGGTGCGATCCATTTAATTTCTTTTTATTTTAATACTCTCGGAGAGATCCACTTCGGGCCAGTTGGCAAACATTCGTGTCGTAAATTTTGAGCGTACCATTTGGAGAAACCGCAATACCGTACCAGTTGACTGGTGATGATCCGTGAACAAGCGCAACCTGCGTCGGGACGGACAAAAGCAAGGGCAGAAGAAAAGGAGGGTGACGAGTTCTGTTGATTGGAGCGAGAGCTTCGGACGAACAATCGCGTTTAGGGGGTTCGTTACAGGCGCCAAGGGTGCTCTGCTTGATCCATTTGTTTGCCAGCCACCGACTCCATTAAACTGGAATAACTAGAACATACGTTTCGTGATGACGAGTGTCTCAAGAATAAATAGACTATAACGGGAACAGTTGATCGATCAATCCTTATGGATTCTGTATTTTTTTACGTTACGAGAATGAAGGGTTGAAACAGCATCTTACGCAACGGGATCGTGTCACGAAAAAGAATTTTAGCGCGAAATCGCGTGGCTTCGGGGACGAGAAATAACCGGAGAGGTATTGGGATCATCCGAAAGTAGAAATTGCTGTTGCGTAATACCTTGGTCCCTTTTTGAGGAAGATGTAATGATCGTTTCGAAGCCTCGTGGCACGCGAGTACCTCGAGGAAGATGATCCACCAACGTGTTCCAGGAAAAATCATAGGGAAACGGATGAGTCCTTCGGTCCTCGCTTGCGTAACACGAACATTACCTCTTGTTCAACAATTATATCGAACCGTTTTGGGAGCAGAACGTCGAATTAAAGGTGGGTTAAACGACGAAAGGAACGAAGAATCCATCGGTCGATGGAATGATAATTTGCCACGCGCGCGCGAATGCCATTATACTGTTTTTTGTATAATAGGGCAAGCACGAGGTAAATATGTCTGACACGAGACGAGGATAAACTCTGTTCAATTAAAAGGACGAAGTAATGTAAAACTTATTTGATCCGGCACACTTTTTCTTAAAAGGGGAACAAGACGTCAAACTCTGAATTTCTTTACTATGCAATAAAAGCCGCGTGCCGTGGTTTGAAGCGGCAAACGGGGACACGGCAAAGAAATTTAGAAGCAGCGTAATTACAGCTGTTCGATGCGTTCGATAAGAAGGGACTTCTATCAGACCTGCAATAAGTCAACCCTGGTCCCTGTTCGAGCCAGTGCCGCTACCGTTTCAAAAGGACAGAAGGACTGCGGAGCGAGCGAGAGAGAGAGGATCTTGCCTCGGAGGGACGATTTAGAAAGATAAAAATCGTGGCCCGAGTCCTGGTCCTGTCCTACGACTATCTGGTTAGTTATCGCGATAACTTTTGCCTCTCTGTGTGTGTCCCGTGATACGAATCGATCAACAACGAGCTTTTGCCGAAGCGCGTGCCCGCTTCTAAATTATCCTACAGGTGTGCCGTGCAAGAAACTCGATGACATTTTTGTCGGTGCTCAAACATATTATGGTGGTCGTTATGGAATTAAAAAATTCTCTCCAATCTACTTTAACCCAATAAAATTGTGGATTTACTCTATGGTCTTCATTGGACGAGGAATCGCGTGAGCGTTGAAAAAACTTTCGACATGCCCCCGAAGCCGAAGGAGACGTAATTGTCGGCAGGACCGTGTCCGTACCACAAAGCACCGTTGAAAACTTGCAAGAAACGATCACGAACGAATTAACAATGCACGAAAGTAATTTATCATCGCTGCGAGTCCGAGGAATTGATTGTTCGCCAGATTTCCAGCAAGCTAAATTGCCTGTTACGCGCAACCGTGGCTCCAGTAAAACAGGGTTTTACATATACATTTCCCACTTTGATCAAACATAGAAACGTAGTGGGTGTCAATAGAAAGAGAAGAGACAAGATTTAGAAAAGAGGAGAGAGCAGTTCGCCACTTGGTGGGACGCAGGGTCAGCCCAGAACGTGTTTAGCACGCGACGACACACTACCATCACCTTCTTCCACCCGCCTTTTCTGTTGTATCAAACCCAGCAGCAGCGTCAGGTTCTTTTCACGCATACGCATACGTATTTCTGCATGAACGGGCACGGAGCGTGGATCGCTCGTGGCAAACGGGGGCCGGTAACACCCGTATCGCATCCCCCGCGTGGTCCACAGTCTCCGTCTTCGTCGCGCTTCTTCTTACTGCGGCAGAGAGGCAGAAAGCTCGATCCCACCCCGTGACGTTTTCTCTCCTTAAGCGTGTATCGCTCGTGTGGCCCGTAAGCGCGCGGGGGTCCCTTCAGCTTCGGTTACACCGCGTCGCGCGTCGCATCCTCCGCGTGATCCACGAGCTCCGTCCTTGTTACGCTTCTTGTTACCAGCAAAAGCTCCCGTCCCCTCCCGATCGTCCCCTCCCCTCCTATCCCACCCCGTGCCGGTTTTCTCTCCGCGTTCCGCCACCGGGTTCGTCCCGCTTGTCCTCCTGCTCCCTCCTTGCCATCATCGCGTCGTCCTTCTCGCCGCACGCTCGCCGGCCAACCGCAGTCGTCCAGCGCGCGTTTGCCCTCGTCGCGCGGACCTGCCACTCCGACCGCTACCAGGAGTAGCTGCACGCGCGCACGAGGTGCCCCAGCGCCCCGGAGGAGGTCCGAGAAACACCTCTACGGCTGCCACTCGCCGTGAGACCCTTTGCCCAATCGATCCTCAGTCAGATTTCATTCATGTGTACCGACGATGACTCGCCTATCCGGCGATTCGCGTCGATTCTGTGTTTAATTTCAAGTTAACAGAGTTCGAGGGAGCAAAGTGACGAGAGAATGTAGTGGTACGTTTGATTAAAATCGGACAATTGATTTTTGGAGAACAAGTGCGACGAAGACTAGACTTGAGTGTACGAACTATTTTGTTGATTGCATCGTACAGAATATTGGTGTCACACCTGTAGTAAATATAGTAAACGTTAATAGAAGTCAACGGGATGACCAAATGGTCTAAATGAAATAAAATGTAAAATCTACTGTTTGAAAAAAACTCTGTCTGAGACTGTAGAAGAAAATGGGAAACGATGAACACTAGAGAGAAGATGAACATTAAACGATGTGCATGAAGATAACACAGGAAACGATGAGGGTGACATTTAGAGTCCCGCGTTGATCGCGAGTCATTAAAAGACAATCCGTGTCGGCCATTGAGTCAAGTCGTGGGTGTATCATTATAGAAGAACCGAGTTCGACCTCGTCTTATTCTTAACGAAAGAGGAATGGTCATTGGGATATCCGTGTCAAGAATTATGGTGTCGATCCGGATCTAAAGAGTGCAAGATTCAAATTTTGCTGGACCGTTTCGAAGAAACTGACGCAGACGAGAGGAAAGGTCATTCCATTTCGTTTGGAGGAAGCTTGAGGAAATTGTCAAGGTAAAGTATTCACATTATTTTGTATTACTCAATAATTATTAATATTACATTCGAAATCAAACAATCGAGTCGAAATGCTTAGCTCGTTTTTTAGCCAATGAAGTTCGCATCTACTTAACGCGAATCTACATAAGTTATTGGAATTTAAAGATGCGGGATACCTTAATGACTACAAACTCATTCGAGTAGATCCATTCATTTAGATAATCCGAATACGTTACATACGCATTTATAATTTTATGCTCACAGTCGAAACGACTGGACACGTTCTCCAATCTCGAAACTTACGAGTACATTGATAAGTAATAAAAACAAAATGAGAGACACGCGTGACCGTGATCAAACGTGCACCGGTTCCTTGCTCTGCGGAGCCAGTCTCGATAACCCGAAATGAGGGGTATCATCGCTCGTATGCGTGTCAATGACATAACACGTAAAATCAGCGGCGCTAATTACGCGATAACGATCCACCGTTAGGGTCCGCGGCGAGACCGAACCGGAACCCTGTGTGTGTGCGCATTGCCGGTTCTTTCCATCGGCGAAAGAAGAAAGGAACGCGAGCATGAACGATCGAACCCGCGCGCGGCCGCGTCCAAACAAGGAAGTGACGACACTCCCTCTCATAAGTATGCGGAGATTTAACAATTTTTGTATTTCTCGACACATCTCCTCGACACGTCTGGTGCAAATTATTTCCCGAATTACTTCAATCGTATTACATCGAGAAACACTGAAAATTCGTATGCAAAAATGCTCCATCGATAAATAAATAAAATTCATCAATGATATAATACCATCGGATAATGAAATGTATAAAATGTATTTATGACGGCGAGTGTACTGATTTACACGAGGAGAGGATTGTGTTTATTCGGTTTGGATATACATATGCGATAAATATTAAAGTTCCTTATAAAACACAAAGTTCTGCTGGTGGACTCGGCGAGCCACCGCGACCGGGGGCCTCTGACACGCCATTGCTTCATTTAAAATGCAAATTCGTCCGTGTGGCGTGAACCACGGCGGCCCGAATTATTCTAATTACCCCCCTCCAGGTCCCCCCGTGTCCGCCCTTCTTGCTCGTTGCCTCGTTGCCTCGATGCCGCGCTCTCGAAAGCTCAGCCTTCTCCTTCGATCTCGCTGCGCTTATATTCCACTCCACATTCCGGTTTTGTACTTGAACCATCAATTTTTTGATTAAACCGGAGGAAGGCCCTAAAAATATTTGTTTCGAGGTTCAATCCCGACGTGAATATATAGTTTTGCAATAAGATCGTAACAAGGGAGGACCAACCAGCATTTAAAATTTGATTTGCTCATTGCAAAATCACATGCCTTTAGGCTTTTTCTCTTACTCCATTCCTGTGCGGTCCCTTATCGCTCGGTTGTTTTATTATTACGAATATCATTACGCTTTTATCGCCTGGTGTTCACTTCACAGTAATTATTGATCCCTGATTCCAAGATTAAAAAGGGAAACACCGTTTCCATTGGCTGCACAAGATCATATCCGTTCCCTTAAATTAATTGGCATTTCGTTCCACTATCGAATACTACAAAAGCTAAATATCAGCTATGCATATTACAATTTTAGAATATTATTATTCCGCGTCGTGCTTGAACCAAGATTTTCACTGCGGATCTTTTTAAAAACCATTGGTTTGCTTCTTCTGATTTGCAAATGTTAAATTCCATTGGAGGAGTAAGAAAGGAAGAGAGGAACTCGTTGTCAGTGTGTACGCAGAAACGTGTTAAAGCGCGCTAGAAAACGAGCATAGATTATCGCGGGTAACGTGTTCACGATCCGAGCGAGATGTCGTGTGCATGTAGGTCTAATATATTCAGATTTTTATGGCTGGTGGCATATCGGAGATACGGCGGTCCACCCCCTGTTCCCCCCCGCTGCCAACCCCGTGTGTCGGGGCAAGCCTTCTCCACGGGTACCACTTAAAGCGCGGGGTAACCTAATGAATAAACAAAAACTAGATTTCGCTTAGGGCTTACACGTAAAAGCGTGACCTTACCGTCGATTTGCCGCCGCCGCGGTTCTCAAATCAATCCTTTTTACCGTACGCTCCCGGCTCGATTTAATTGCCCCGACGTTCAGTTCTTACAGTTCTCAACTGTTTTAAGTTTTTATCAAAATTTTGCATGGCAATTATACATATAAGAAGCAAACTGAAATAAATTACAATTTTACGAATACACGAGCCAAACTAAATTACAATTATAGTTGTGCTCAAATATAAAATGTTAGAAGTAACGAGATTTAGTAAACATTTATTGTTATACAATGTACGGTAAGGGATCGATATTCTTTGACGTACTGTTCCCTGCAGGCATTGATGTCACCGCTACCGCAGTTCCTGTATCAGATCTCACTACGATTCTACGAGTTTTACCATTTTTCCACAAAGCTCGTTTTTGTCGCATGGGCGTTCGTCAAAAGTTTGGGCGTAATTGAAACATCGGTAGGCATCGTCGAAAGAAATTCGCGTCCCTGGGCCGCGCGGATGGTAGGAACATTCAGCGTGTCGGGCTGTTCGGTTCGTACGTCACTTTTGCGCGTACCGCAGCCACGCCGGGACCAAGGGGACGATGAAAAAGAAACGAGCACGAAAACGCGGGAGGAGGAAGCCCGGGACACGTGTTCACGTGGAGAATAACACCGGCAAAACACGTGGCGCGCGAGAAATGCGGCAAACGATTCGCCGCCGTACGCTCCGTTTGATTTATAATAATCGTTCAATCCTCGTTACCGAGATACTTTATTGCCGTTCGCTACGAACCTCACCGTCTTGCAAAATGTCAGATTGCTGAATCAAATGGCATAACAGAAATGGTAAAAGTATATGCTTTAGGTTACGTAAAAATTCTATGTACCATTTTCAAGATTCAATGTAAAATTTGAATCTGCGTAAGTATAGTAAATATCACCATTTCTACTGACTGGCTCTTTCTTCTATAATTGTATATGCAAATCTTAAGTCAGTGAATAGAAGTTGGGACATTTACTATAATTTAAAAATAAAACTTGTATAGATATAGGAAAGTGATTCCTTTCCCTCTGATCGTTTATGGTATCGAGCGAACTGATTGATTCGTCGCAATAGATTCCGTGTCGAGGGGATCAATTGCTACGTGTCACTTTGATCCCTCGAGAACGAGATCGATCACAGTTGCCTGGGAATACCAGTGCAGCATGGACATCTCTTTGTAATAATTGTATACAGGAGATATTTAATAACGTCAGTCCTGCAATTGAGTTTGTCACTAAAGTTTTTTAAATCACAATTCAATAATTCTATTCGCTTTATCAATGCAGAATTAATAAAGCCATCAACGATCACGTTTTACGTATATTATAAATGATCAATAAAATTGGAGCGGTTGAAATGATTAGGGTGTCTATAAAAGTTGAACGAAACTAGTAAGAACGTTGTATATTGGCTCTTGCAAGAAAACGAGTTGAACATTTTTGTGTCGCGATCCGCGCGCAAGGACCTGGAAAATTGACGGTGCAATGTTATTACGGCGACAACGACGATCGCCGATTGAAAAACTCGACTCGGCTTATATGGAGTTTGTAAAGTTGGCCGATACTAAATTCCATCACGAAGCGATTTCAAGGTGTCGCAGTCCACCTTCTCGTTAAGAGCACAGAGCAGAACAGAAGATTGAGACGGAAATTTATTTATTTACTTAGCCAATATCAACGTGATACAATTTTAATTAATCAAAATTAATAGAACGATACGAAATGCATTTGTATAATCGTAGCACTGCCTACTCCAAGTATTTAAGAAGCGTGTGGTTAAATTTTTCATCTGAGAATAAGAAAGGGAAGAACGGTCTCGTGCAGGCCGCGTAACGTGTAATAGTTACATCAGATTAGGGGTAGCGGTAGCGAGCGTGTAAGCAGGCTTAATGCGTGGGTAGGCATCGAGCAAGGGGGTGGCGGCCGCTACACCTGAAATTGTCGGCAAGCCAGGTCTCCACGAACACACGGTTACGCGTGGTGGCCATTTGCTCCGCTGCGAGACCTCGACACGAACGGACCGTGGAGCGGGGGCTACCGGGGTGGTTTGGTAATCGCGCATTAATTTGCATCACAAAGTACACGCCACCCGCCACGCTACGCACGCATTCCATGTAGTTTTCCGCTACCGTTCGATCTCTTTTTCAGGGTAGCTACACACCCGCCCGTTCGCTCTGACACAAGATTCTCTCCTTTTATTCTATTAATTCACTAAACTCCGTGGAATACAAATAAGCATATTATAATAACACCAGAGAATAGTCAATATTTTATAAGACTATTCCTATTGACTTATGGGTAAATTCACGGAGTTTCAGGATTTGATTATTTTTCTTGAATGAGAGTCACGGCTGGTCGAGAGCGATAATATTTTGCCCCGTGTGGTACGATAGTACGATTGCATATTTAAGGGTTGCCATGTCAAGCGTCAAGCGCGCCCTTTGAATACATTTAAATTCATTAACAGTAAAGGCTGTGTTCCCGTAAACCTCACACGTAAATACAAAAGGTGTGTGTGTATGTGTAAGCCGTAAAACGGACGAAACGCCACGATAATTGCGTGCCGTAGAGAATCGACCGATGACGATTGCAATGATCTACATTCGTTAACGTAACCGCTCTCGTTTCTGTTCGCAGATTATTCACGGAAATCCACGGATCAATATGCCGCACACAGGTGAGCACCGTTTTCCTAAAACGTTACTTTCGTCCAGTTTTATAAATCAGTTTGCACGGCGGAATACTGAGCTAAGTATCAAAGCAGGAAACTATTAACGAATCAAGGTATCGGCTCCTCTCTGATTTATGCAACGACACGGTTAGCCTCTGGTCCTTATCGTTTCTCGGCACGAGGTCAGCTACCGTCGCGTCGCGTCGGCGAGATCACAGGACTGGTTCAAAATTCAAATCAATCTTCCTCTCTCTTTTCTCTAAACGCCATTGCTTTCCACTTGCTCGAGCGCTCTCTCTCTCTCACACACTGCTTAGGCTATAGATCTGTCAGCTTCTTGTTTTTGTACTTTTAAGAAACGATTGCCCGAGGCGAAACGCGACGGATAAATTACGATTTGGGAGCTGGTTTGACAGTAATCAAGCAAGATTCCTAGCCTGAGATCGATGGACCCGTTATTAAACAATCACAATAATTATACACGACTCGAGCAGTCTCATCGTGCAAGTTTAAATATAATTTATTTATTCCGAACTTTATAAAAGGAGAACTGACGACAAGACGGTCAACTGAACGTCGTCAACATTTTTTTGTCCGTTTTGAAATTGCGTTCACGGTCGATAAATTGTAGATTGGGACACCGCTGCGCGACGCCAGTGGGAATCCGACGTTTATTCGCGATTTCGCGCATAGCCCGAAGATTTTGACAAAGATAATCTCGCTTCCTGCTCGGTTTTTGCCGTAATAATAATTTGGCCCGCGGTCGTGTCGTCGGTTCTCGTGTAATTTCGGCGCCCGAAACAGGAAGCGACACTCTTTCTTTATCGCGTGGCATCGAAATTAAAGAGAGAGGAGGAAGGAGATAGTCTTAAGGAGGTGAAATAATAATTGCCGATAAATCGTAGCCCGGCGGATATTGTCGATGAATAACGAAGCATCGACACGCGAGAATTTCTCTCACCCCTTCCACCGGCTGCTTTTTAAATGTAATAACGTGCCGAAAAGTTTGTCGTCGCCGTCGTTGAGGAGAACGCGTTCCCTTCCCTTAAAGCCTTAAATCATCGTCCAAGGAGAGCCTCCGAGGCGTGCGTGTTTCTTTTATTACCGGCGACCATTTTACTCGTAATTACCGATCTGGATCATTTGGACGAGGAAGCAAAACTGTGTAATTTACGTAACTGTAAAGAAATCCGGCACACAGAATTAATAATAATCATACAAAGGATCGAGTAACTTACATAAATGTAGGAAACCTCCCAGATGACCCTGATCAACAGTTGTGAAATTCATTTTTATTCAAATCTTGTTAAACTAATTCGTATTCCCGAGATAAGGACATCTGAGAATTAGAGATAAGTTCTCGAAGGATTATGCGAAACGGCTGTCTCAGCCCGACACAGGCCAATTTCATTATCAGAAATTTATACGCGTATTAAGTGGCTGCGTGACCGTGGAATGTTAAAAGCGATACGTCAGTTAATCTCCTGGCCGTGAAACGAATTATGATAATTTCCCAATCTGTCGTGTCCCTTTTGATCTCGCTGTCGTAGTTATTACACTGGCTTAAGTATAAAATTCACGTGGATTTTCTGGATTCTTTTGAAAATGTTCTGCCGATGGAAAAGCTCGCTTCGTGAGATTCTTAGCGCAGGGTTACAATCACCTATGAACCAGCGGCGCATATTAATGAGATCGAAAATCCGGAACACGACTTCGAGGTATATTCAACGTACGCGAGAAACGGTGGGAAATGAATGGTGTCCGTTTATACAGGAACAACGGCATCAGTTAGCGACGTAATTTCGTTTCTCGTCGAGTGCGTGAAAAATTGTTAAAAGCGGTAATTCGGCGAGGGATCGACAGCGACGACGTTTGAAGATCGGCGGAAAACAATTTCGTCTTGACGTCCCGAGCAGCGTCGTCCGTTTCCTGTTCGTCGCTCGACATCCGCCGCGCCGTATAATTACACGTCTTCCAACTCAGGAACATTCAAGAACGAATTCTTCCCATTTTTCCCTCGTGTTTACCAATGAAACAATTTCGAGACCCTCGCCAAAGAACATCTGCCTATACCTAGAAACGTTAGGATTGGCGACGTGCTCGATGGTCGAATGCAAAAGATACGATGAGAGGCTACGAAGTTAAATGAAACGGTTTGATTACTGGTTGTTGCAGGTCAGGCGGGAGTCAATCAATTGGGTGGTGTGTTCGTTAACGGGAGGCCGTTACCCGATTGCGTTCGACAGAGAATCGTGCAACTAGCGCTGGTCGGTGTCAGACCCTGCGATATCTCGCGGCAGCTTTTAGTCTCTCACGGATGCGTCTCCAAGATCCTCACCAGATTCTACGAAACGGGGAGCATTCGGCCAGGAAGCATCGGAGGCAGCAAGACTAAAGTAAGTACTTCAACAATTGAAAATTATTTAAATACATGCATTCGCGTATCTATTGTACTATCGATGTGCAGAATGCAATCAGATATGAAAAGTTCATAGACAGACACGACTGAAGTCTATGATACGATCGTCAGTAATTTTATACAATTTCCAATAGTAAAATTTGTACATACCCGGGTTTGCGTTGGATACACATAGCGAAAGATTGAAACCCGACTATAATCATGTATCGCAAGCAGTACGAGGCAGAAAGACAGAAAAAGCGTAATAAACGGAGAGAGGATGTGTGCGTTATGGGGCGGTGACACTGATGAGAGGTGGCGGAGTCGCGAGCGAGAGTCATCGGCCGGGAAGCGCGCTGATGTGATTTTAAGTAAGGGGCTGCGTATCCCGACGGTGCTCGCAATTATCCAAACACCTTGCAGCGACCCTCGCATTTGCATAATTTCATGGCTACGGTCCGCTTTTCTTACGCTCTTGTCGCGCGCCTGAATTATCTGGGAACCGGTGTAATCGTTCGGAGTGCGGCTCGTAAAACCGAATTAGACACACTTACTAGTTAGCAGGTCCGTTTTTGAACGCGAAAACTGAATACCACGCGCACGCGTTCTATTTGCATTTCAAATTCTTACGACCCCGATCTACGTTATTAAATCGTCTTTCATTGAATCTTTTTCATCGCCAAGACAGACGAGGTTCGACGGTTCTGTACTACGACGAGAGTCCTTCGAGTTTCGCGTTGGTTTCGCGAACCGTGCAACGTTTCTTGGTTTCCAGCAAGACCGAGGAACGTTCCGAAGGAAATTGCAAGTTAACGAGCTCCGAGCGATAGTTCGATGATCAAGGGGCACGGGGCGGATTATCACGGAGTAAAAGAGTATCCCGCGTGCGAACACCGCGCGCGTGACGTCACTAATGACAATATAATTGCACGCTACCAACGCGGTGAATTTCATACGATGCGCCCGTGCGATCCCCCGTTTCAGCTTAATGAATTTATTTTAATAACGGCCGTGCCGCGGCGTGCATCGACCTCCCGGCACTGAATTACGCTCGCTGCCGCTTCTGCTACTTCGTCTTCTTCTTGAACGCGCCGCGCCGCGCCGCGGAAACCTGAAGAGCATATTTAAATTCCGACTGTGCTCCGACGACGATTACGACCGCATGTAAACGATCGTCATCAACCGCCATTATAGTACATACGTATATCTTGTAGTGTTCGCTTTGCTGTAGCCGAAATAGTCGAGCCTCCAGTTTTCACCAATTGCTTATAAATTTTTTTAATTGGCCACACGAAACCATCGAATTTGCAAGGTTTCCTGATTTTATGTAAAATAAAAATTGTACGGTGTCAATTTAAGAAATTATATTTAATAAGAGTTTATCCTTTAAAATATGCATTTTCCTGCTTCATGCATTTTTCTCCATTATATGTTTTTGACATACTCGATTTTGCTAGTCTAGTTATTATTAAACGGATGAGCGATTAGATGAAGAAGTAACGATCGAAGATTTGAATGACTGCAAAGACAATATTTCTTAAAGTCTCCAACAACATCTATAAAACATCATTCGACGTAAATTTATCGCAGAATTTTTAATTAAAACATGAGACCGAGTATCTATAATGAATAACTCTTAATTACACGGTTGCTTTAATCTCAATGACTGTCCGCTCTCCGAAAGGCTGGACTTCGTCAAAAGCGGAGGTAAACGAAACCGAAAGTTGCCGAGTAACGAAAACTAAAAACGCGGTTCTTTAAATGCCGAACGAGAATCCGTAGCCGCAGATTTAATCTCGAAAGGAGTTCAAGTCGTTGACATGTCAGACGTGTCTCTCATGAAACATAAACGCTTAACCATCAAATTAACATTTTACACGGAGGGGACGGTCAGTCAAAAGGACTTCGTACTTTATACTTTACGCGCAGAGTCGTCGTTTAAAGTGATGAATTAATTATTGATTTCATTTAAATAAGACCGCACGCAATCTATATTATATACATATATTTAATTATGCATATGGTGAAGTTGTTTAGATGGAACGTTTCGATTTGAGATGAGACCGTCGGTCGAGATTATTCGCCCGTTAATTTGCGAATTAATTTGTCAACTATCCAGCCGCGATCTACTACGTGCGTTCAATCGTGCTTTCGGTTACCGTGACCGTGTATTTTCGTCGCCCGTGCTCGTTATCCTCGCGCATGTTACACTCGTATGTACTTAAGCTCGTACATTGATGCGGCGCGTCAGATAATAGCGTCGCATCACGGCAGAGGAAATAATTGTCTCATGAAAAATGTACGCCCCCCGTCGAAAATCCCGATAATAAACTGGAACGCGGAGGAACGCGAAGAAAATCGTGCGATGAAATCTTCTCATCGATGTCCCTCAATTATTTTTGCTCGTACCAGGTTCCGCCGTGTTTGTTTAACACGGGTGTGCCGGCACGAAATTTTTTGATTATCGTTCATTTCGTCGGGGAACGAAACACTCCGTTTCCCGGAATCCGATTTTTTTTTACGACGATACGCATCGGAATTCATTGGTACCTTGTCTCGGTAGTTAATAATTTACAATCGAAGCGTGTCCAATGAAAATCGACGAATGTTTGCCAGGGGTGTAACGATTTCGAGAGATTACACGTTGCCCACGGTGAGCAGCTCGCGTTCCACGTTCAACAGCAAATTCTTTCTTATGCTCTTCAGCAGATATACATACAGAGTCCGCGGTGCAATAATTCTATTCATTTAAGGATGTATTAGCTATACAGTCAATCCCAATAGTTTATATACCTTAGAAAAACGCATTTCCTATAATTAAAAAGAAATCAGACGTCGGAAGAACAATGCTAATAACTGGTAATTAAGATCTCGCGGTGACGAGTCGTTCTCGCGACGCGCCGTGCTTTTTTGACTGATGGCCATTCCCAATGCATGATTTATGCGTTGGGAACGAAAACAAACGCAGAGCAATCCCCTTCTACGTCAGAACGTTGATTAACAAAAATTTGCTGTTTATCGTTTTTATAAAATCTAAATTCCATTTACCCGACAAGATTCAAATAAAAATAGTCTGTCCACTTGACGAGACCCGACGGGTAAATTTGTAGAGGAAGTGGAAGAACGTTGAGAACGAAGCTTGGAGAGGAAGTGAAAATACGTTATTAAGCATTAACAACCTGGTCGAATCTTATCAGGGGACAATTGGGTGCGACACCCCTTGCTAATAATTACCAAGTTGAACCTGTTCGATGGCTCGCGTTATCTAACGTTTAGCGCCAGATGTCCGGTCGGCCGATTCCCTTTGCGGCGGTGTGGCTCGGCACACGAAAGACCACCGTTCGCACAGTCCAGTCACAGCGGTTGTACAGCGTCAAGGGCTCGAGGGTAGGCATTAGAACGCGTATACGTGTATGTCGCTGCGGCGGCGGCGGCGGCCCGGGGTAATTGTGCCAACGACGACGGAAGTGTCAGATTAGAATCTGAGATGCTCCCGGTAGCACGCGATGCTTGTCCTAACCCTAACCCCCTGAAACTATTAGGACGGCTGGCCCCTTAAACGCTTCTCTGCCCACCAGTGCAGCGCAGCGGTGCTCCCATTGACCATTGATCAATCACGATGTCATTAGTACAGTTTTATTTCAATTCTTTTTTTTCATTGCAATTACGTTCTGAAGGTATTTTGTGCAGTTGCAATTGTTATTCGATAGACGATCTAGAATTTAGTGTGTTACACGATTTACTGGGTAACGAAAGGTGTAATTTGGATAACTAGCTGATAAAATCTTCCATCTACTGTTTCCTAAGGCGTTACGTAGTACGTTCCTACTTCCATCGATCTCCTTGCTCGATTATGAGACTATGGCATTAGTCACTGGGAACTAAACAGAACAACTGAGAACGTAATGCATTTCATCGTAAAAATACGAAAGTAAATGAAAATCACAATATCTAATCGTGAAAATACTTTCTTGCCGCAATGTTTACCCCCTGCGCGTGTAAAGAGAAGTTAACCACCTGGAGAATCGTGGCCGAGAGATCGCCGATCTTGAAAATCTGAACGCGGAATACGATTTCCATCGCGTTAGCATAAAATTATCTGGGGCCCGGGCGCAACTTCATTAGCAAGTCAAACGAGTCGAGCGGCCAGATTTGAGCACCACTGGGGCCACCCGACGCGGGACTCTCTCGAAAACGCGCGAGCAGCAGATGAGCACGCCTACCCGGGTGAACCGGGGCTAAACTGTAATAAAGTGCGGTGCGCATTACCCACCTACCTTTCGGGGACCGTCACCGCGTTATCTGATGCGCAGCGCGACTTCACCTGTAAACGACATGTGGCCGTTTCGACTGCCCCTTTCGACGACACCGAGTTCTGACCACTTTCGCGTTAATTTGTCGATGAGATCTCGTCTAACCCCGACCCGGCCCGGAAGGAAAAACGACCGGGCTAATGATCGGCAACGGTCCCGTGCTCGCAACCGTTGGGGACCAGTCTTTTACATACGAATTCGTCATATTTATGGAAGAATTCAGTTATTTACATAGAAATTCGCGATGTATCAATTAACCAGGCGAAAGTTGAAACGCGTTCATAATACATTTGGCAACGAGAACGTTATCATCCTGTCACGTCACTTGAAGAGTGTCGGTGAAAGAGAATCGAAAGCGCGAAGAAATCGTGGATAGTGGACAGGGGCAGGATCGATACCGGACCGATAAGATCGCGTTTGTATCTGTACAAGCAATCTCGATCAGCGGCGTTTAAGTTTCGGAAATAGCCGCGATACGGATCACCCCTTCTCGAGGCTTCAGGTGCCACCTCGCAACATTCTCTCCACTACTTATACGTATTTACTTGTTCCGTGTTAAATTCTCAAATTTAGTTACCTTAATTGCCAATTACTGTGTCGAGATACCGAGTACATATCTCTCGAAGTTTAAGTACATTCGGAGTAAATTAACCGATGTCACGAAGATATTTAGTGACTTTGTACCTTTCCTGCTGAAGCTAATTGAGAATTATGCCCGACGATGTACGACCCTTTAGAACGGATTTGTTGAAGCGCAATAACGCATGTCTGGATATTTAGGGTGAAAAGATTTGACTCAAGATGTTCACTGTTATAAATAAGGATGGGTTTAAAATATTGCTTTATGTTTTTTTATCTTTATTTTTATTTACGATCATTTGGGCACCGGTAAGGGTTTTATGACTCTTTGCCTCCGGTAGGGTTGGTCATCGTCTGGTGGCCAAATGTTTTCTGCAGTTCATGACCATCGAAAAATACCCGAGAGATCTTTTATCCGACACAAGGCGTCGGTTTGCCGGTACCCAGATAAGAACGATCTTGATCGTGAAGATGTCGACATCGAAACAGTTTTCGTTCCAAGTAACATTAACATCGACAAATTCTGTCACACTACTCAGTTCCAAGTAGTCTCATTAAATTCCAAGTTTTCAACCAAGTGTAAAATATTTATTGCTCTAACCAGTATCAAGCATTCCAGCAATTTTTATTTTTTTTATTAGGTAGACCCGAACTAAATACTGTTTTCGAGCCATTACACGATTTATGCATACATAATTTAAATCCAAGTATTTCTTCCAATGTACAAACAATTGTATCGAACAAATTATTACACTCGTATATTATGTACCTACTATTTTATTATAATCGTGAATATTACGTTAACTTACATAGATGACTTAATTTTGATTCTGCCAGCAAGTGGCCACCCCCACAGTGGTGAAGAAGATCCTACGGATGAAGCAGGAACAGCCAACGATGTTCGCCTGGGAGATACGAGAGCAGCTCGCGAGACAAGGCGCTTGTGATCCTCAAAGCTTGCCCTCTGTGTCATCGGTGAATCGGATTCTCCGTGGCGGAGGGCTACACACGGATCACACGGGCATCGAGGGTGGCTCCAGCACTTACGCCTCACAAGTTTCATCGAACGTCCCTAATCGAGGTAAGAAAAATAATAATCGTTATTAAACTATTTTAAGAACGTGTAATAATAATGTGCTCGGTCCAAAATGTCAGCAGGGTTTCGGACAATGTGTAATAATATCTTTAAAAATCGATTCACGATCCGTGCACGTCAAAATCGGGCCATTATACGAAGGGAAAGTTGGCTCGCGAATGCGCCATTACCGGCTAATGACGATCCCCTAAACATCTGTCTGTATCTCGGCAGAATCACTGTCGGACACTCTTCTCCATTGTTTTGCTCCTTATTTCACGATTCGGTTCCATACAGGTTGGAGAACCCGTTGTAGAATTTCGGGACAAAAAGGATGAGTTGAAAATGGAATTCGTGAAAATACCCCGTGGCCGATTGACTCGTCAGCGAGCTGCGGCACGCAACCCCTTTGCCTTAAAGCAACGAAACGAAACTCGCCTAATAATTCACCTCGTTTATTCCCGCAAATCGTCTATAACGTTCTTGAAGAATCCGACCTGAATCACGAATTTCCACTATTCTTGCAATATTTCGATTCTTTTATTTTACAATTTCTTCACAGATGTTTCATAAGCGATACAGCAAATATGTTTTGTACGCGTTAAATATCTCGATGTTTTTTTTGTTTTCCGTACAGACGCGTTGATGAGAACGGATTACCAATTATTCTATCCGGGAACTCTGGGACCATTGCACATCTCCACTACTTCCGGTAATACTAGCAGCGCATCTTCTTGGAATCCGAGCTTCTACTCGTCCCTTTATCAAGCGACTACTCTGCACCTGCATCACGGAATGCAGTCGTTCACGTAAGTCGAGAGCAACGATTTACTTCCATATTCATAATTTAAATCCAAGTATTTCTTCCAATGTACAAACAATTGTATCGAACAAATTATTACACTCGTATATTATGTACCTACTATTTTATTATAATCGTGAATATTACGTTAACTTACATAGATGACTTAATTTTGATTCTGCCAGCAAGTGGCCACCCCCACAGTGGTGAAGAAGATCCTACGGATGAAGCAGGAACAGCCAACGATGTTCGCCTGGGAGATACGAGAGCAGCTCGCGAGACAAGGCGCTTGTGATCCTCAAAGCTTGCCCTCTGTGTCATCGGTGAATCGGATTCTCCGTGGCGGAGGGCTACACACGGATCACACGGGCATCGAGGGTGGCTCCAGCACTTACGCCTCACAAGTTTCATCGAACGTCCCTAATCGAGGTAAGAAAAATAATAATCGTTATTAAACTATTTTAAGAACGTGTAATAATAATGTGCTCGGTCCAAAATGTCAGCAGGGTTTCGGACAATGTGTAATAATATCTTTAAAAATCGATTCACGATCCGTGCACGTCAAAATCGGGCCATTATACGAAGGGAAAGTTGGCTCGCGAATGCGCCATTACCGGCTAATGACGATCCCCTAAACATCTGTCTGTATCTCGGCAGAATCACTGTCGGACACTCTTCTCCATTGTTTTGCTCCTTATTTCACGATTCGGTTCCATACAGGTTGGAGAACCCGTTGTAGAATTTCGGGACAAAAAGGATGAGTTGAAAATGGAATTCGTGAAAATACCCCGTGGCCGATTGACTCGTCAGCGAGCTGCGGCACGCAACCCCTTTGCCTTAAAGCAACGAAACGAAACTCGCCTAATAATTCACCTCGTTTATTCCCGCAAATCGTCTATAACGTTCTTGAAGAATCCGACCTGAATCACGAATTTCCACTATTCTTGCAATATTTCGATTCTTTTATTTTACAATTTCTTCACAGATGTTTCATAAGCGATACAGCAAATATGTTTTGTACGCGTTAAATATCTCGATGTTTTTTTTGTTTTCCGTACAGACGCGTTGATGAGAACGGATTACCAATTATTCTATCCGGGAACTCTGGGACCATTGCACATCTCCACTACTTCCGGTAATACTAGCAGCGCATCTTCTTGGAATCCGAGCTTCTACTCGTCCCTTTATCAAGCGACTACTCTGCACCTGCATCACGGAATGCAGTCGTTCACGTAAGTCGAGAGCAACGATTTACTTCCATATCTCTAAATTATATCGACGTACAGGTAGAAGATGAAGGATCGTTTGCCACGGGATCATTGAAATAAAATCGAAATACGAAATTCATATTCTTCTCGTTAAAGACACTGTCAATTATTTCTGTAAAGAAGTTCTATGTCGAGTATGAAACATGGAGAATGGATAATATTTATTTCAGATCGCTGGACGTTGAACGTCTATCGGAACAAAGTCAAACGAACCAAATGGAACTGAAGTCAAGTTCCAGTTCTATGGCAGGCAGTGACGATTCTTTGGACAAGAGCGATCTGGACGAGAACACGGAATCCCAGGATCGCTACAAACCATTCCAGAACTCGCCGATAATTGTGGAACTGGGCCAGAAGATCGGCAGCGACCGCAGTGCATTCGTGAGACACAACACGTCGGGTTCCTCGAGCCTGGAGAACCAGAGGCAGAGTCCACCGCCCGCGGCTGTCGAAAAACAGAAGGCGTCGCCCAGGATCGTGGAGAACGAGAGCAGCATGGCCAAAGAAGTTGAGAGTAGACCGGCGCAGCCGCAGCGAAAGAGGAACCCATACTCGATAGAGGAACTCCTGAAGAAGGACGAGGGCAAGAATTCGTCCAAGAGGCCGAAACTGACCGATCTCGGGGTGGTTCAACCTTGCGGAATCGTTCTCAACAAGGAGATCTGAGAATCTGGGATGAAATAAGAAAAATCGAAGATCCAGAGGCTAATAATTGTATGACGATCGTCGGAATTTCGGAGAATTTTCAATTTCTGATCGGTTCTTTCAAACTCGTCTATCTATGTAAATATTACGGAGAATTGATATACCTTTGATCCTTAGAATTTTAGTATGAAATTATTAAATGTTTCAACGATACCTAGTAGATACTGTCTACACTCTACAGAAAGCGAACGTGAATTATAAATGATTAATTATAAATCCTGTACAATACAAACTTAAACTTCATCAATTAATTTTTTAATACATCACTAAAAGGGTTGAAGCATATTTAATAAATAAAATAAAATAAAAACGAGGTATAATAATCGTAATAGGAGCGTCTGAAAATCTCGAAAATTAAAGCGATCGTCGTTTGATGTATGTAAGTACGTACCGGCACGGATGAGCTGCGTAAATTGTAGGTATGTAATACTAATATGAAATCGATCGATATACTGTTGACTGCAATATCGTAGGGTACATCGTACACGTTTAAGTCTGCACAGGCGAGATTGTACAAGTAGACCTGTTCATGATCAGTGCCCGGATTAAATGTAAACTATATCGAAGTAATATTCGAGATCAAGAGGGACGTGATTTTCTTGCGAAGAAGGCGAGTCCCAAAACACGGGTGACAGAAAAATATTTTGATCGACAGGTCTATTCGTATACCCAACGCAAAATCTGTGAAGTTTGTTAATTTATGATAATTAAATTATTCTTACCATGCATTCCTTTTGAACGAGCGACACGATCAAGTATTTAGTTTATATACGTATTTAAATATTTCGCAAATTTTTTTATGAAGTTTTGTGATCTCCGAACGAACCATTTCTTTCCTCTATGCTGTAATATATTAGAAACCCTGTTTTTTTTCTTGCGAGCGGACGATGCCATATTTTATTATTGTACCATATACCTATTTAATTATAATTTTACTCAAAGGAACCTTGTCGTATTCCAATAAAGAAATGACTAGTAATCTCGAATAGAAACTTCCCTTTCCCTATAATAAATTATCTGGATTCTTTGAAGCCGATGCGACGACGCAGCGTAACCGATCTTCGAGTATTTGAAGCACAGGTCGTAAACGTCTAATTCCGAGAGTCGCGGATACATGTACGTATTAAAATTGAAACAAGCTCGTTGGAGTGGTCGATTACAACCGCAGAGGTAAGTATTGAGGTGCGGTAATTAAACGAAGGCGGCTGCACGGTGAAGCACGGTATCGGTAACTCGAGGCGCGAGGAAGTAGTAAAGTCATAAACGGTTCGGACCGGGACTCTCGTGCATAGCATACAACAGCACTGTGTCGCATGATACGTAAAACGAACCACTCCTCGCATTTACAACGTTATAAAATCCTCCGCGTCGTCGCGGACTAATTAATACGCACCATAAAACGCTAACACCTCGACGTCCACCGATTTATACGTGGAACGCTGTTTAGATTGATCATGGTCGTTGTAACGGAGAAACTCTGATCAAAGTCTTTCGTTTAAAAAAAAAAAAATTGCAGCAGAATTGAAATCGAGAAAATATAAATTTTAATAAATCGTTGAAATGAAATGTTTCATGTAAGGAAAATTTAAAGAACTTGAAAAGTTCTACCCCAACTATAAGTAAACACCTGCGTGTTGGTCGCTCAGTTGCTTAGCGACCACTTGGCACTACACAAAGTGACAGAAAGTTCGCTTGTGAACGCGGTTACACGGTATGTTACCTGCGACTAACAAGTTTTACTAAGCTTGCTGTAATTAACAATGGCAGACGACGTGAAACCGGAAGTGATTAAAAGAACGCAGGATTTGCTTGGGAAGTATTTCAAAAAGCCACCCCTCACCGAGAAATTATTGAAGAAACCACCCTTCAGGTTTCTCCACGACATCATCTCAGCGGTAACGTCTTGGCTCGAGTTTTATTTTTTCAAATTGTAACACAGACACGACGTGACTAATTAATTAATTAATATCACAGGTGATAAATAACACAGGATTCCTAGACGGCCTGTACAGCGAAGAGGAATTGAATTCGGAGAATATAAAGACCAAAGAGGCGAAGCTTGCGTATTTGACGAAATTAATAGAAGTCGTCGGTACGCTACAATTGTTTAAATTATAATCACCTTTTATATCCTGTTCATATTTAAGTAGTTCAATCGTTTTAGAATTGACTACCGGTGATAATTTAACTGTAAGAGCTAGTAAAATTATATCAGGTCAAGAACCTAGTAAAACGAATGAATTATTGCAAGCAATTGGGAGAGCTTTGGATAAAAAGGTAATCAGATATCAGTAGAGTTAAATATGCACATTTTTTCATAATCTATTTATTAAATAAATAGATAAGCAGTACCGAAGCCATAGAGCAATACAAAATGGGTGTGAGGAAGGATAAGTCTTCTTCAAGAAGTAAATCTGTGGCGAAAGATGAGAAGAAATCGTTATCGAAAGATGCAGTACAAAATAGAAGAGTCAAGGAAAAATCGACGGAGAGATCGACAGACAGAACGGGTAAAGGAAGATCGACAGAAAGGCTTCCAACGGCTAAGGAGAGATCAACAGAAGGAAACGCGACTAAAGAAAAATCAGACACGAAAAAGGGACATTCTAATGAAGATAACTCGACTCGTGACGAAACGCGAAAACACGAGAACCAAGAGCCTCAGAAAAATACAGACACACCAGAAATTCGCCAAGTTGAGGTAAATCAATGAACATATTTTTATTCAATTTAAGTGAACGATTAAGTTTGTATTTTTTTAGCAGCGTCCTCCTACTCGAGAAAGAGCTCCTTCGTCCTCGCGTAAAAGAAGATCTTCCGCTTCCAGGTCAAAACAGAATCTGTCGTCCGAACCAAATCTCTTAGAATTGGATAAGAAAACAGACGAGAGCAAGAAGCAAAAGGAATCTGAGAACAAATCGAAACGAGCAGTTAATCAAAGTAGCGAATCGCGTATTCGAACATCCAGTGTGGATCCTACGAACTTGGAATCGGAATCCCCGAGTATTTTAAAAAATAATACAGCAAATGAAACTGCAGAAAATGTGGAGTACAAGCAAAACGATGATATAGCGAATAACGAAGTAATCCCAAATGTAGAAAAAGCTGAAAGATCAGTGACAGACATGCAAGGCTTCCATTCTGAAGGCAGTGATACCAGGTATTTCGTTCTAAGTAATTCATAATTTAATATCTACAAACTGATTAACCCTTTAACGCTTAGAGCCTTGAATCGTTATTTGAAAATCGTGAAACTCTTTAAATGAATAGAGTATTTCATTTTCTCAACTGAAAACATTGAAACCAGAATGATTGCCAGAGAAGTACTAAATTTAAACACGCGATAGAATTTACGCATTTACAAAATGAGTGTTAAAGGGATAATGATAAGACTATAAAACTTGAGTAACACAATTGGGACGCAATCTCCAGTATAAGTTCCAGGCCGAGAACTTCCTTGCGACCACCTTCGGCGAGGCCAATTAGCGCGAGACCCGCGGCGCCGAGGATACGGGGAAAACCGGAAATGATGGTCAACGAAGAAATACTGTTAGATTCGCTTTTCGAATCGCAACAAAAATATTTATAGATAATGTAAATTATTGCTGTATTCCTTCAGCACGCCACTGGGAAACATCACCGTTATCGTGGAAAATTCTGATCTGAAGGACGACGATGCTGAGGACATGGTAGTTATGGAAACTAGAGGAAACGGAAGTGATGATTTTGAAACCGGAAGTTATAAAGTAGATGATCAGCTGACGCAAGAACATGGTCATCTCGTTGCGCAAATATTGGAAACTCAAAAGGAATTAGTTAATAACGATAACGTCGACGTGATACCGAAGAAAACAAATATCGTGAGGGCAAATTAATTAGTTATTTATTTTTAGGCCATGGTATAATTCGAAATTGATAAGAACTATTCTTTTAAATGTATACTAGTCTTGGGACACGAGCGCAAAGCGTGACGTGGTTGCGAAGGAAATTGATAAATTGCGGAACACAATACAAACTCTTACTCGTGCGACGAATCCGCTTGGCAAATTGTTAGATTACTTTCAGGTATTGTTTATTAAATTATCACATTTCTTATTGCTTCTTAATGCAAATTGCTTGGTTTAGGAAGACGTAGAGATCATGCAGAAGGAATTGTTTGAATGGAGGAATCAATATCAGCTACTAAACGAAGAACTAAAAATAGAGAAGACGTAAGAATGTTTCTTATCTAAGATTGTGAATTAGGTGTTTGCACAGTATAATTATTTCTAGGAAAACTCAAGAATTAATAGAACCTATGAAAGAAACGCTGAAGGAAATTGATCGTAACATGAAAATACAATTGGACAAGATATGTCAAGCAAAATCGCAGATTATGAAAAATGATCAAAGGATACAAACATTACTAAACGGCAGTATTTAAAATATCACCTATTCCTTTTTTAGCGTAAGTGTATTTAACTTTCGTATATGTGAAACGATAATGACGTGTATGATAAAGAATGTAATATAAATAAATAAAAAAGAATATTTATTAGAATAAGTTGTACAAAATATATAACATAACATAATCCTATCATCACTTAATACTGTTCAACGATGACCTAGTTTCAAATCTCATATTTATCCTTCAAAGCTGAGATTTCGTCCTCGGGTATTTCAGTCGTCTTACAGTATTCAAAGAGCCTTTTCAAATCTAGAATGCAATCAACATAACTTGTTACGATTCCATTCTGATCTTTGTGCATTTGTGCAGCAATACTTACTATCTTTATCGTTATTGCTAGCAAACATGATGAGTGTATTGAATCGTTTGACTTTACTGAGATCTTTCAAATAATAGAACACAGGCTTCTTCCTTTCCACGAATTCAGCCCTTAATACGTGGATTATTTGACTAAAGATATTAGGCTCCATCAAATCTTGAAATATATCAGAAATCCCAGTTTCTGAAAATTGCTGTACACAAAGTCATTAATAATACTTCCTGTATTAAATATCTAATACTTGTATATCTTTACCTTTAAGTAATGGTATCTAAATTGTGTCGACTTATTCGTTTCCCAATGTTTTAAGAACTGTACAACTGTTTTAGGAACTGGAGGTATAGTACCGATATCATCTTTGACAGGTTCAGAAACCTGAATTTCGTTATTATCTTTTTTAATACTGCTGCTTGTATTAGTTTTTTCCGTTTCTGTAGTCCGCGGTTCATCTTTACACTTTATTTTATCTTTGTCATAACGGAAGGTATTGAAATCTACTTCTTGGATCGGTATCTTCGTCAAAGATTTCTGTACATTAGAAGAACTTTAATATATCTACTAAAATTGTATATTTGCAAATTTAAAAATAGTTATTTACTTTCGAACGTAAGTGAGCAGCTTTTTGAATTGGCTCTATCACAGTAACTGTGTCTTTCTCTGGTAGCCAATCGGGAATACTTAAATTCCTCTTCTCTTTTTTATCTGCTGCACTACTTTCCAAGGAAGACTTACTATTTACATTTTTAACATCTTTATCTTCTTTGGTATTTTTCGTATCTTTTATTTGTACTTTCGATGTAGTATTACTCCATAATTTTTCACCAATTTTCTTCTCAATCGTCGATTCATCAGACGATTTCTCAATATGTTCTTTCAAAGCATTCGTCTGTAAAAACAGTAGAACCAAACAGTGTAGCACATCATGTTAACTACATGTGGTATTTTCAATTCTAATTACCTCCGAAGATTTGATCTTGCTTTCAACTTGACTAAGTAATGACTTGGCTTCCTTATTGGAAGGTTCTAACTTCAAAGCTTTTTCCAAGTCCCTTTTGGCTTCTCTGTATTGTTTCAGATTCATTCTAGCCATCGCCCTTCTGTGATAAGCTTTCACGTAACTATCATCCAGTTGTATCGCAGAAGAGGAATCTGATTCAGCAGCATAAAAGCTGTAGGGAAGATATAGTACATTCTAAAGTCTTAAAATATTTTTATTTACTATCTAGATGCAAATATATACTTTTCTAATTTCAACTGGCAAAGTGCGCGATTTGCATAAAATACTGCGTCATATGGAAATACTTTTATAGCTTGGCTGTAACAACTGATTGCTGTAGACCACTTTTGTTGCTGCACCAAAGTGTTCCCTTCATTTTTATGTTTCGTCGCTTCTGCATGTGCCTTTTCTAATTCTTCCTTGGACATAGGCTCACTTTCAGAATCAGACTGTTCTTCCTTGTCTAGTTCTTTACAAGCTTTGTCCTTTGAATGAAACAAATAGACGGAATAAAATTTTACACAAGCGAATGTGCTTTTAATTCTTTTAAAATCCTTACCACATCGAATTTATCCCATGTAGAGTAATCGAACGATTTGATCTTTTTTGATTTAACATCGCTTCCAGTTTGTTTACGGGAAGCAGTATTCTTCTTATTTTCATGTTTAGTTCTAATCGGTGGCAAAGTGACCTGGGAGATAATATTAAATTTCAGTCTTTAGTGTAAATTAACACCCACTATAACCCGTACCTGATCACCTGCTCCTTTCCTCAACTCTTCGTCCTTACGTTTCATATGTTCCTCCCAGTTTTTCATATCAAAAAATTCTTTCTGTAAATCATCTGCATTGTCCCTTACTTGCTTTTGCATTAAGATCGATTTATTATTCATTTTTATTAATTGTGTTTAACACGCAATGAACGAACGTGAAACGTTGATCAGAAATTAGGTTCTGTTACTTTATTTCACAAAGTATACCTAAACCATCTTATAGTACTTGCATGTTATCATTTTAATATCAAAGCCGACGTTATCTACAACGGGAAAATTAGTTACACATCTAAAATGGTATCAGGTTTTTCTTTGCTCTCCCATTGAGATATTTTAATGAAATTCGGGAGATATTCAGATAAATCCTTGTTGAACATGCCTCTAAAATTTTATCACAATTGGCACATTACAAATCTTGATATTTGCATTTTTCAAAATTTCGCTTTTCAATCTCATGTCCATTAGATGCTGCCTCCGTGACAAAATACGGAACTAAAGTGTGCGCTTAACATCGTTCGAAATCGATACAAACTGGTATAGATTTATTTTTTATTTATTAACGTGAATTTGTCAAAGGATAATTACTCTACTGCTCGGAATTGATCGAAATGT